GGGCATGTAGCACAGGGCATGTAGCACAGGGCATGTAGCACAGGGCATGTAGCACAGGGCATGTAGCACAGGGCATGTAGCACAGGGCATACCATGGAGGTGGTCGGTGAGGCTGCCATTAGGCAGGTACTCATAGACGAGCATGCGCTGGGAGGCGGTGGAGCAGAAGCCGTGCAGGCGCACGAGGTTCTTGTGGTCCAGGCGCGACAGCAGCTCGAGCTCGATGTGGAACTCCTCGTCCGCCGCCACGCCCAGCTGCTTCAACACCTTCACCGCCACCTCCACTCGCGGCGCCACGGGTAGCAGCCCGCGGTACACGGTGCCGAAGCCGCCCTCACCCAGCACGTTCTCCCCTCGCGAAGCCGTCCGTGGCGAACTGCAGGCGCAGTTTGAAGGCCGCAGCCCGGGGGGGGGGGGGGGGGTGAGGAGGGAGGGGTATGGGAAGGGCAAGGAGGGGTTAGAGAGGGCGGGACGGGAGGGCGTATGGGAGGTGTTGGGGTGAGGGTGGAGAGTGAGGGGACGTGGGTTTGACACGGGTGGTTTGACGCAGTGAGAGGGTGTTGAGCCAGGGCATGTGGGGGGGGGTTGCTCATGGCAATGCTGACTGGCAGCAGCCACACCCCATGCAGCAGTGACGGCTGCAAGAAGCATGAATGGAAACACGAACAGCACAACTCGTGGCACCATCACTACTAGCATGCTTTCTTGCCCCGCACATCCTTCCCCCCATGCACCTTTCCATCCCCTTTTTCTCTCCCCAAACCCCCCGTCTTTCCCCCTCCAATCTCTCTCCCCCCAACCCCCCCACCTCCAGCTCTGTGATTTGGAACTGCACGCGCTTGGGCGCTGCCAGCCCTCAAAGCCCTTCCCCTCCCTGCGCGCGCGGATGGGGGGAGGGTGGTGGGGAAAGAGAGAAGGGGGGAAGAGGGGAGAGGGGAGGGGGGAGAACGGGGTGCATATGAGAGTAGATATCCGGGGTGGATACTTGGGCGGAAATGAGGGGGGAATCGGGTGTGAGGGCGGAGGGAGAGAGGCAGGAACGAGTGGCTGGGAGAGCGGTTCCGGCATAAAGGTGCGGAAGGGGCATGGCGGAGAGGGGGCATGGCGGAGAGGGGGCATGGCGGAGAGGGGGCATGGCGGAGAGGGGGCATGGCGGAGAGGGGGCATGGCGGAGAGGGGGCATGGCGGAGAGGGGGGCAATAGGCGGAGAGGGGGCATGGCGGAGAGGGGGCATGGCGGAGAGGGGGCATGGCGGAGAGGGGGCATGTGCGGAGAGGGGGCATGGCGGAGAGGGGGCATGGCGGAGAGGGGGAGCATGGCGGAGAGGGGGCATGGCGGAGAGGGGGCATGGCGGAGAGGGGGCATGGCGGAGAGGGGCATGGCGGAGAGGGGGCATGGCGGGAGGGGGCATGGCGGAGGAGGGGGCATGGCGGAGAGGGGGCATGGCGGAGAGGGGGGCATGGCGGAGAGGGGGCATGGCGGAGAGGGGGCATGGCGGAGAGGGGGCATGGCGGAGAGGGGGCATGGGCGGAGACGGGGGCATGGCGGAGAGGGGGGCATGGCGGAGAGGGGGCATGGCAAGGGCGCATGCTCTCACTGTTGCTGCTCCTGTTGCTGCTGCTGCTGCCGCTGCTCCTGCGGGTGTTGCTGAGCGTGCTTGCGTGCATTGAAGGACGAGCCTGCACACAGCCACACAGCACACACGGGGACCGGGTTGAGAGTGGTGAGGTGAGAAAAGGGGGACCAAGAGATGAGGGTGGACCATAGGGGCGCCAGGCACTCACATTCTCTTCGTTCGCCCTTTTCCCCTCCGCCCCACGCCCTCTGCCAACCTAAACCTCTCCCGCCTCTCCCCATGTCTAAAGCCTCACATCCGCCCGCCCCTTCCCCTGCCCCCGCGTCGCACTGGACTTGAGTCCCGCGCGCCGACGGCGGTGGCTACGCGTCCCAGCGGCTGCCGTGGCGTCTCCTCGCCCTCCCCCTGCGGGCGCTTGAACGTCCCCGTTGCGCAGCAGCTGCCCCAGCCGGCTCCCCCCGCCCCCCCCGCTCTCCCCCTTACCCCCCCCCCCCGGGATGCGCGGTTGCATTGCGCCGCAGGAACTTGGGCCAACCGCCCTCCCCATGCCCACCCTGCTCGCGCTCCCTCCCCCTCCTCCGCCTTGTGCTCCTCTGCAATGCGCGCATCGCTTTCCCCCCTTCCCCCTCCGCCCCGTCCACTCTGCTCACCCCCTCCAGATCTTCTCTGTCAGCTTCCCCCCTCTCCCCCGCCCCCACCTCCCCCTCCGCATCTTCCCCCTCTCGAGTTTCCGCCTCCGCCTCCTCCTGCCCCGCTGCGCCCCCCACCAGCCCTCACTGCCTCCCTCCCGCCTTCCGACATCCTCCCCCGCTTCCCCTTCACTCCCGTCTTCCCCTTGCTCCCTTCTCCGCCTTCCCCGCGTCGCCCTGTCTGCACGACCCATTCTCCCTCGCATCCACGTCAGCATCATCCAGGAGTCCACGTGTCATCATCTCACTTGCCAGCGCACCATCCTGCGCGCCCCTGACCGTTGACTCACTACCGTCCCCTTCCGTTGCGCCCACCGTCTCCGCCTCGGCCTCCCCTTCCCCCCCTCCCCCACAAGGCCTCTCCGCCGAGCCTGCGCCTCTCGTCCCCCAGTCCATCCACCCCCCGCCCTGACTCTCACCCGCCAGCGCGCCCCCCCGCCATCTCTCCGCCATCGCCTGCGTGGCGGAGTTTCTCCTCCACCTGCGCTAGCTCGCGCTGGCTGCCACGCCGCCAGCACGGACCCGCGCTCCCCGCTGCTCGCGCTCGCCCACCGCCGGACCGCGCTCCTACGCCGCCCAGCATGCGCGGCGGGCGTGGGGCGGAATAGCTCGTCGTCGTCCGACGACCCCTCGCCCGCTAACGCGCCGCCACCCTCAACTTCGCCATCTGATTGGTTACCGACTCACCCAGCCGGTCCGATCGAGATCGCATCTGCAGCTGGCTGCTCGCGTTCGCCCGGGTTGTCGCTGCTGTCGTCGTGCGCGTTCGGGCGCACGGAGGGCTTTGGCAAGCTGAGCCGACCGCGGACGCGGAGGGATCGCGGAGCAGGCTGTCGGGATGCAGCGAGCTCTGCAGCTGTTGCTCTGCCGCGCCGCCCCATGGCAACCGTGCCGAGTTCTCCGCGGAATGCGCACGCGATATGTCTTCCCCGTCCCAAAGCATTGCATTAGAACCGTCGAACGACGCCCAGCGGCAGTGGTGCGAAGCGCGCAGTGAGCGGGTGCGCGGATGGACCTTGGGCGCCCCGTCGCCCCTCTGCGCCTGCGCGCCGTCGTGCATGCCGCGCGCGCCGTGCCCTCCGGTGCGAGGTCGGGGAATGCCCTCAGCGGACCTTTCCCTTCCCGCGCCAGGCACCTCGGGCGAGGCGTTCAACGAAAAGCGCGACGGGGTCGAGTGGCGCGACCACGGCTTCCAGTCGCTCCAGCGCCGGCGCCTCCTGCTCCTCGTCATCGTCGTCGTACTCTCCGCCTTCCCCGCCGTTATCAGCGCGCGCATCCCTATCCCCGCCCCCCCCGACCACCGCTGGATCCGCCCACAAGACATCCATGTCCACTGCGCCCCGCCCTCCTCATGTTCACCTCTTCACCGCTCCGCATCCCTCGTGACCCCGGGCTACCTCTCTTGCCTACTCCTGCGTATTCCCAACCGCTTCGTGCTTCCATAACCGGCCCGCCCTCTCTCGTCCGCTAGTACCCACGCCACCGGCAATGCCTGCGCAACCCGTCGGGCGGGAAGCGGATTTGTGGCGAGCGGTACGCGCCGGGTGCGGGGGGCTAGCGCAGTGAGCGGGATAATCTGCAATGCACTCGTTCCCCCCAAGCACAGCGACGGCCCGCTGCGGGCATGCTTTCGTCGAACTCAGGCGAGCATTTACGCCCTCTCACTGTGAATTAGTCAGAGTCGAGCAAGCTTGTGCGACGACAGTTCCTAGATTCTAGAACGCACAATGTCGAGGTCTCATGTCACATCATATGGGTGGCTTGAACCTGGTGGGTGGGTTGGTGCGCGGGTGCATGCTTTTCTGGTGAGCCTGTTGCGGCAAGCTGTCGGTCGATCTAGCGAGCTGGCCACGAGCGAATAGAGGCAGGGAGGAGAGCACGGGGGAGTTAGGGCGGGGGAGGGGCAGAGCGAACAGCTGTACAGTAGACGGAACTGAATTGCAGGGAGAGGCGGATGATTTCTCAGTGTTGGGCGCCAGGTGGCGAATGTTGGGGGGGACTTGAGGGGAGGTTCTCCTGGTTGTTGGCTGCGACACCAGGCCGAATCGCCTCTCGGGGTCAGCTCAGCGGGTCGTGGCGTGATGTCAATTCGAACAAATCGAGCGCCAGCCTGGCGTCAACGCAAGAGGTCGCGGCAGTCGCAAAAACATTTATATGTTTCCTTTGAAATTCGAACATCATTCATCCCATCAGAAGTTCTGCAGAAACTACATAAATCCTCGCTTTGTTCGGGGGACACGAAACAGTGATCACCAACCAGTTCGCATTGACCAAAACCTGCCCGAAATCAGCACTGTGCAATGCAATTGTACGCTGGCCTGGGATGACCAGAGGAAGCCTGTTGCCACTATGATATGGTACTGCCACGTCATCCCATGCCTTCATTGGCTCTCCCTCCAGAGGTGACCATGAGGGCTCTCTGGTTCATTCACAAATATTCTTCCTTGTTCGTGCTTCTCCGAATAAATTGATTTTGTGTAGCTGTCTGGTGATTTGGAGATATCAGGCAATTTTGTAACGAGTACAGAGCTCGAACTGTTTCCAAAATATCTCCTGCCCTGATCAGCTTTTTTCACTCATTTCATCAGCAACCATGGCTTCCAAGGTTCTCCGCCTCTGCGCCCCGCCGCATCCCTTGCGATCCATTCTTCCGCTGCTACCACCACCAATGCTCGACCTGCCTGCTCGTTCCTGGGCGCTCCGTTAAAGCGCCAGTCGCACGAATGCTGCCGGCGAAAGCAGCTACGGCCGCTCGGCGACCCTTGGCGAACGTGCCAGGCATGCTGTAGCGGCAGCGTCAGCGGAGGGGGGCGGCAAGTCAAAGGCGAAGGCGGAGAAGCCGCGCGTGGAGGTCACGGAGTCTGAGGAGGACGAGAACTCGCGGGTGAGTGGCGGCAGCACCCGCGCTGCTTGGTGCACGGAGGATCGATTCCCCCTCGCCCGTCAGTAGCCGCGCTCATGCGTGTCACGCCATGTCGCGGGCCCTCGTCGCAGCAGGCGCTAGTTGCCGCGGCGACGCTGGTATCCTCGCATGCCGGCATTGTCGTCTCGCCGCCCGGCCTTCGCGAGAGCAATCGCGATCGCTCACATTTTCCACAGCGCTCGCGTCGCTCGTCATGGGAAATGCCACGGGGCTTGTAGCTGCCTGGAAAAGGCTAGATCGTGACTGCCGCATTGTGGGCAACAGGCGACGGGCGACACGCAGTGACGCGGGAAGGCAGATGCGCCGAGCCACGGCGAGGCGGGCGAGCGAGGCGAGAGGGCGATAGTGGGAACAGGTGCCCGCGCCGTGGCGGTCTGAATGCAACAGCGCGGGCACGAGCAACGCGCGCGCGCAGAACCCTGTCCCCTCAACCGCGCCCCTACTTATACCCCGTGCCGTGTCGTGCGGCGCCTTGTGCGCAGGTTCGACTGACGGTGACGGTGCCCGCCGGCGATCTGCGCTGACACGTGGCAGAGGAACCGTTAAAGAGCTGATGCGCACCACTCAGGTGAGGTGACTCGCAGTGCACGCTGTGGAGTGACCGGCATTGGTCCATCACATGTCGTTGCTATCTGCCATTGCGAGGCTACCATGACACTGCTGCACCGCACCCCCATGCCATGCCATGCCATGCCATGCCATGCGCCACCTTCCTCCCTGCCCACGCATTCGCATCGCACTGCCGCTCTCATCGCCACCTCCAACCGCACACGCTCACTCGCCCTTTCCTCCTCCGTCCTCTCTTCTCGTCACCTTCACGCGCGGCAGATAAAGGGGTTCAGGAAGGGCGACAGGGTGCCGGAGTGGCTGTTGGGTGCGCGAGTACGGGGAGCGCCCCGTCAAGCTGCAGGCGCTCGACCTGCTGCTGCAGTCCACCCTCTCCGACGCCCTCGCCTCCGTGCGCACCCCCCCCCTCTTCTTCCCCTTGCCCCCCACCCTCTTGCCTCCGTGTGCCCTGCATCCCGCACTCGCCGCTCTCCACCGTCCACGCGCCCATCCCCGCACCGCACTCGTCGAGCCCGCCCCACTCTCTCCTGGGCCACCTGTTGCCCCCATGCCTGCGAGATGCAATGCACTCTGCTTCTGCCCCACGGGGGCAGTGCCTCTTGCACCTCCTGGTGCTCGCCCCATGCCATGCATGTGTGCATGCCCCACTTCTGACCTAATGTGTGCTGTGGATATGTGTTACACGCGTGCATGTATGCATGTGTGTATGTGCTTGCCCTGCATGCGTGCATGTATGCGTGTGTGTATGTGCATGCATGCATGCGTGCACGCACACCATCAGGTGGCGGGCAGGGCGCTAAAGGACTCGGAGCACATCACATCCAACGTGGACGACCTCGTTGCCGCCTTCCAACCCGACAGCCCTCTCTCGTCAGCCCCCTAAACCCTATCTTGCTGCCTCTTCGGCCCATCCACTCCATCTCCCCATCATCGACCCCCCACTCATCCCGCCCTCCGATCACTCGTGCACCCTCATGAGCACATCACATCCAACGTGGACCACCTCGTTGCCGGCCTTCCAACCCGACAGCCCCCCTCGTCAGCCCCGCTCCCTCCCTCCATCTCACTCCCTTTCTTATCTTACTCATTCTTTCCCCCACTGCTCCGTCTCCTCATCTTTCTCCTGCACTCACCTTCCCCCTTTCACTCGTGCTCTTTCATCCTCGCATTCCGTCTCCTCAGCACACCACATGTTATCATCCGCCATCCGCACCCCTCTCACCTCCCCTCTCCTCGCCCCACCCGCAGCTACGAGGTGACAGTGGACGTGGCACCGTCAGTGAAGTGGAAGGGCGAGCGGCCGTATGCAGCGCTGCAGGTGGAGGTGGAGGTGGAGGACGACGGGGACGAGGCGGCCAAGGCAGCAGCGGACAGGCAGATCCGCACGCAGCTCAAGAGCATGGGTCGCCTCAACATCTCGCAGGACGCCGGGCTCAAGGTGCCGCGCTGCATGCCCACCCATGCACCCACATGCACACGCATGCACGCAGCTCAAGAGCATGGGCAGCTTAACATCTCGCAGGACTCTGGGCTCAAGGTGCCGCGCTTCATGCCCACCCATGCACCCACATGCACACGCATGCACGCAGCTCAAGAGCATGGGTCGGCTTAACATCTCGCAGGACGCTGGGCTCAAGGTGCTGCTGCTGCTGCTGTTGCTGCCCATGCATGCACACAACCATGCACGCATACACACCCATCTGCACCCATGCACACCCATGCCCGCATGCACAGATGCTTGCTCATGGACACACCAGCACGTGCACGCACGGACACACACACACACCACACACACACACCCACACACCCACCCTTGTCACTCTTGCTAAAGCTAAGCGTAGTGTGTCTGGTGATGTTAACCCGTGTGTGCATGCGGGCATGCAGATGGGCGATGTGACCATCGTGGACATCGAGGCGCATCGCATCACGTCAGAACGGGCAGAAGGGCGACCCCATCCTCTCCGCCACTCAGAAAGGTGCCCCCCTTTCCCTCCCCATCCCCTTTCCCCCTCCCCCTCCCCCTCCCCCTCCCTCTCCCCCTCCCCCGGCCCTGCACCTTCCGCATCACTGTCTCTCCACCCGGATTCACCCCGTCACCCCCATCCCCCCATGTGTCCACTCTCCGTCCCCATCGCCCCCTCATTCACCAGCACCACCCACATCCGTCCACCCTCACATTCTTCACCCCTACTGCCCATTCCAATTCCACCCACCTTGGCCCCCCACTATTTCCTTCTCCCCCACTCTCCCCTTTCACCGCCCCCTGTCATTCCTGTGTGCGCCAGGCTTCCAGCTGGACACGGAGGAGGGCGAGTACCTGTTACCGGGCATGGTGGAGGCACTCATCGGCATGCAGCGCGGCCAGACGCGCGAGTTCCAACTCACCTTCCCGCCCACCTGGCAGACCGAGTCCCTCCGCAACCTCCCCGCCACCTTCACTGTGCGTGCGCTGCCACCTGCTCTTTGTGCCGCCATGCACTGCTTCTGCAGACCGCAATGCACCGCTCTCTACACCACTCTGCATCGCTCCTTGCCCAGTTTTGCACCCACTCCATGTCGCGTCAGCTCTCGCTCCTAGCTCCCCTTCCTTCCGTCTCCCGGGTCTTCTCACCCCCTCCCCTCCCTCCTTCTCTCGCCCGCCAGGTGAAGTGCCAGGAGCTGTTTGTGAGGGAGCTACCGGAACTGACGGACGAGCTTGCTGAGAAGTTCCTCCCAGGAGTGGCCACCATCGCGAGGTACGACACCACACGGGGATGATGTGCCCTTTGCTGCTGAGCCGCTGGCTGCCACACCCTCGGTTGCCACACCGCCACCCATCCAACGAGCCAGCGCTATTGGCACATGCCACAAGTGCACTCTCCCATTCCTCACATCTCATCACTTGTGTCCCACCACCCTTTGCATTACCCCACCCCCCTGCATGCCCCCCTTTTGTCACCACCAATCCGCCCTCCCCCATGCGCCCTCCCCCATCCGCCCTCCCCCATCCGCACCCCGCACCTTGGGAGCGGGCAGGTGCGCAGCAAGGTGGCGGGGGCGTGGCAGGTGAGCAGCAGCAGAAGCGCAAGCAGGCCACCCTCAACGCCATTGTCAACGCGCTAGGGGAGGTATGCATTGGAGCCGGGGGAGGTACGGCTGGGGGAGGTACGGTACGGTGGTGGGCTAGCATGGGGAGGGCATGGCTTACATAGGGGAGGCATGGCTGGGGCATGGAGGAGGTATGTAAGGAAGGGTAGGGATTCGCCCTGTCATTTGATGCATAACCCTCCATGATTCCTGCTGTGTGTGGTGGTGGTGGCAGGTGTGTGAGATGGCGGTGCCCAACTCGCTGCTGGAGGAGCAGGGCCGGCAGATGTACGGCGCTAAGCTGATTGAACTGCAGGTCAGCCCACCCACACATCTGCCACGCAACCCCTTCTTCTGTGGAGGTTCATTCGCCCTGGCTGTACATTCGCTCTGCTCTGCTGCCCACCCCATCCAACCCCATGCGCACCCACCTGCACACGTGCGCCCACCTCACCCCGTGCGCCACCCTTATACACAACCCTCCGCCTCCACCCCTTCCTTCCCACCCCCATGCGCAGACGGAGGGCAAGGTGCAGAAGGAGCAAGTGGCAGCGCTGATGGCGGAGGGCATGGTGGAGAACTACCTGCGCGCACAGAGAGACAAGATTCGAGCGCCAAGTGAAGCAGTCGCTGGCCGTGCAGGAGGTGTACCGGCTGGAAGGGCTGCAGTTCAGCGAGGAGGAGCTGGAAGCCGAGGTGGCGAGCGCAGAGGCGGAGTTCAAACGCTTCAACCAGGAGTTTGACGGCAAGCGCGTGCGCGAACAGGTAAAGGAGGGGGGTACCCTGTGATGACACTGGGCAGTGGGTGGCTGGCAGTGGGCAGTGGGCGGTGGCCAGTGTGAGACAGAGGCATGGCGTGTGGTGCATTACTACGCGGCCAGTGTGTGCATGAATGTCCCTGCCACTGCCAATCTGCGCCTGCGTCCATTCTCCATTACATCTCCACCTCACTGCAAGCACTCCCCATGGGAGCCCTCGCCAACTCCCTCCCGTCCCCTCCCCTCTTTTTCAACGCGCCAGGCAGCAGAGGTGTTGGAGGGCAAGACGGTGCTGGACTGGCTGGCATCGCATGCCACCATCACATACTCCTCCACCTCCCTGCAAACACCCCACACGCCCTTGCTTGCCCTCACTGGTAACACCTCTGCTCCCTCCCTCTCCCCCCAACCGCGGCAGGCAGCAGAGGTGTTGGAGGGCGAAGACGGTGCTGGACTGGCTGGCTGAGCGTGGCCACCATCACCTACGTCACCCCCCTCAGCATCATCATGAGGCATCCCCTGCAAGCCACACATGACATGACCCATGCTGCTGCACCTGCATCCACATGACCTGGCAGCCGTAGGGTATATTGCCTGCCTGCAGAGCGAGACATGCTGCAGTTCTTTTCACACACAGATGGGGAGAGACACGTGCCTGTGCCTGTCAGAATGCTTTTTCCCTCAATGTCCCCAACTCGAGCTGAGTGGACTTCATTAAGCACTAAGATTTGCTAGGGTTATGTAGGTAGGAGCATAGCAATCTTTATGATGGAGGGAGAGGGTGGGAGGTGTAATGGTGGTAGAGAGGATACTGATCCAAGAACGTTCATTTATGGTGTCATGGCAGATCTTGGATAGTACGCATCCATAATGCAAGCCTCGTGAAGAAATTCAGTTTTGTTACTTCGTTTTCCTGCTTGTTATAAAATTAAGTCAGATTTGTAAGTTGCCTGTATTTTGAGAAAGTTCCCATAAAAATTGTCAACATATACATAGATTTTGAATCTCTATGTTGGTTCTCGTAGTGACTTTGTCATATCAGGTCATAACGCAACTTCTCTTATGTCCGAACCTAGTCTGATCTCTCACCAAACCTCCAGTTTCCCCCCGAAATTTTGAAACTTTGCCCTAGCTAATCCGGCAACTGCTTCGGTCACCAGTCACCAATGATCCGAACCTCGCCCCTTCTGAGCTCCTGCTCACTCAAGCCGTTCTGGATTCGTTTTTTTTTTGTTTTTTGTTTTTTTTGGTGGATATAAGTACACTACCAGCATACATACATCCGCAGTCGTAACTGGTGCTAGGAGGGCATGAGGAGGTTACAAGTATCCAAGCAACCAGAGCCCCCCTTATCCTTTATGGAGGTTGGAAAGCAACACCGCCGTCTTCCCAGATCGCCTTAAAACCCGCTCTCCACGTCATCGAGGCCTCTGTCTCATAGAGCCTGCGCATAGCTCCTGCTTCGTCAGCATTCAAGTGGCTCCAGTCACCCGTCCTTTTCGAAACACTCCTGCCAGCCATTTTCTTCCGCGCTCTGCTGTAGATCTTCACGTGCCTCGTGAAACCAACTGCCATGCGTCTCAATGCTCTCTTTGGTTGGAACCGGCTACCACGGAAAACCGCATTGCACCCTCTCCAGCCAGACTTGATGCGCTGTTATGGATATGATTGCAGCCTCTGGGAAGCCAGTCGACGTGCCACTCCTTTGGAAGAGCATGTCTCCGAGAGATTGCATGTCCCTGCCCGGGTTCATACACTGAACCGCTTTCCTCATCACCTCCACCACAGGTTGGATCACCGGGCAGCTGAAAAGGCAGTGATCTTGCGACTCAACTACCCGCCACAGTGCGTGCATTTCGCCCTCGCACCCAAGAAGGGGAGCCGCTCCCCTACTTGGAGGTTGTTACTGTGCACCCTCAGTATCACCTCTCGCGCCTTGCATGGGGTTGCCAGTGAGTCACGGACCGTGATAGCCTTCCCCCAGCCGATCTTCCTCCCCAATTCCTCCTCCCACTTCAGCTGCTGTTTCGGTTGCGCCAGCGAGGGTTTCATCGCCTTCCTCAACTTCTTTAGATCCGCCCGCTCGCCTTTCTCACAGATTGCAGAATAGAGCAGTCCGCGTTCTTGGAGCGCCGAGTAAACCGCGGGCCCTTCCATCTATGACTGCCATGGGTGAAGCGCGCCGAAATTCCACCGATACCACGCTAGCATATTCCACTTCGCCTATGTTCCCTTTCTTGTCCACCGTCACTCTTCGACCGTAAAGTTCGCCGTTGCTCACATATTGCAGCTGATAATAAAAGAACTCCCCCGGGCGGTAAGACGCAGAGCGGAACCAACTCGTTTCCCTGAAGAGTTCATCCGCCGACAGCTGGTTGAGCACCATATCCTTCCATCTCTGCGGTGTCGCCTCCCACGCCTTCAGGGCCCATTTCCTCTGCTCCACGCCTCCCAGTTCCCTGTCCAGAACCTCATCGCTCTTACGAGCTCTGCTGCCGTCTCCTCCTTTCACCACCAAATCCCCCAGTCGGATGCCCTTCAGACAGAGCGAGCCCGCCTGGTTGCCGAAGGGTGATCTGCCTCTGAAGAAAATACTGCGGTTGAAAAGTAACTGCTCCTCCTCTGCGTCCCATCTGTGAGCCGGATCGCCTATGTCCACAAGTTTTGAGTCCCACAGTGCCTTAATAGTGGCCTTCCATCTCGTGCCCCCTCCCAGCCAGGACTTCAGGACCGAAGGGTGCGCGTAAACCGTGGCCAGGCCAAGGGGGAAAGCCGTCGCCCTCTCCCATAACCAGTTTCGAAGTGGCTCCTGTTCCACCAGGGCCTTTCCCAGTCCTTGGATCACCATGCTGTCAATCCGGTGTTTCAGATCAATCACCCCCAAGCCCCCCTCCTTCCGTCCTCTGCACGACAGTTCATAGCTCCATAGCGTGAAGTGTCGATCAAGGAGCGCTTTCCCACCGGAGATGAAATTATGACAGAGCCTCTTCACTTTGGTCCAGACCTCGTACGGTGGGGCGTAGATCTGCGCCTGGAAGAGCAAAATCGGCATCGCGTAGCTTGTTTATGATGGTCACCCGTGCCGAGGTTTTGAGATGCTTAGTCTCCCAGCAACTCAGCACCGCGCTAACCTTCTCGAAAGCCTTGTCCCATGCAGGTCCCGGCGAGCCTCCAGAGGTGATCCAGATTCCGAGCAGCCTTTCAGATGTGTTCTTCGCCGCCCACTTGAAAGACGACGCTATCGGCTGCAGCCTCCTTCGATTTTTCCCGAGCGGCATCAATGTTGTCTTATCCCGGTTCACCTTCAGTCCTGAGATTGCCGCGAACTCCCGCAGCAGTTTCTCGGCAACCGCCACCTGCTCTTTGCCCTTCAAGACCAGCGTCGTGTCGTCTGCATATCCAATGTAGTCTAAGCTCCCTTTCACCCCTCTCTTCCTGACCCCCCAGTTTCCTCCGTTGAATTTCTTGGCAGAGAGGCTCAACCGCGCAGAGGAAGAGATACGGGGCGAGCGGGCAGCCCTGGCGCACCCCTTTGGCCATCTCTACTCGCTCCCCAATCCAACCGTTCAACAGTACCCTGGTTGCCGCTCCATCGTGGAGACCCTTTACCCATCTCGTGAACTTCTCCGGGAAACCCATGTTGCCCAATGTCGCGAAGAGGTATTCACGTGATACCGAATCGTAAGCTTTCTGAAAATCAACCAGCAGCAGCAGCCAATCCTCATCCTCCTGCTCCCGCAGCATCAATCGCCATCTGCTACCAGAGAGACAGCGTCAGCGAGACTCCTCTCCCGGAAGAAAGCCGAACTGGTTGGCTGAGATCACACGCGGTAAGACCACCTTGATTCTGTTCGCCAACACCTTCGCCCAGCAATTTGTAGAAGAAGCTCAGTAGAGTGATCGGTCGGTAATTTCCCAAGTCGTCCCTGTCTCCTTTTTTGTGCAGGAGGATCGTGACCGCCGTTGTGAAAGACTCCGAAAGCACCCCTGCTGACTCGAAGCTCTTGACCTCTCTCATCACTGCCGGGCCCAGCAGCTCCCAGTTTCTTTCGAAGAGTTCTTTTGGCAGGCCGTCCTGCCCCGGGGCCTTCCCCGCCGGTAAGCCTTTTAGCGCCGCTTTTACTTCCTGCTCTGACCATTCGCTGTCCAGCTGCATGCGATCGCTCTCGCTGCAGCGTCTTTCCCTCCTCGATCGGCCATGGCTCCGCAGGGGAGGGCGCCGGCGACAGCGCGTAGGCTTCTCGGAAATGCTCCGAGGCAGCTTGCAGTACCTCGCTTGCTCCTTTTCTCAACAGCCCTTTGAAGGTAAGTTCCGCTATTTCAGTTTTCGCCTTTCTGGACTTGACCAAGCCTGACAGAAACCCTGACGGAGTCTCCCCCGCCAGCTCCTGCAGCATCCCCGTCAGAACTTGCAGCCTCTCCTTGTTGCTGTCCTGGTAAAGCTTGAGAGCCGTTTCATTCTTTATCAGCTCCTCGTACAAAGCCTGCGACGAAGGGTCCGACATCACCTTCCATCGAAGCTCTTCCACCTTCAGCTCCAAGTGCACCATGGTCGCCTTAACTCTCTTTCTCTCCTCTGCTACATGAGCTCTCATGCTTGCACGCAGATTCGTCACCAATCTCTCCAGGCCGTTGTCCGGACACTTCGCCTGTGAGTCCAGTACCGCCGATATAATGTTCCTGACTCCTTCACCCCCAGCCTGAGGTGCCTGAAGCCTCCACAACCCTGGGCCATGGTCGTCCGCCGATGCAGCCTTGAGCGACACCGACACCGCGAACCAGTGATCTGTTAAACCGTATGGAACCATTTTATGCTTCGCCTCCGTTACGCAGTTGAGAAGAGAGCGTGAAAACTAAAGCCCTGTCTATCCGTGTACTCGTTTTTGCAGATCTCGAGAAGAACGTGAACTCTTTCCTGGTCGGGTGGAGGCTCCGAAAAGCGTCTTGCAGATCCCACCTCGAGCAAATCTGGCAGGAGTCTTTGGTTCTCCGCCGGCGTTCCCAGTTTTGAGGACTTGTCCAGCTCCGGGTCCGCAACGATGTTCAGATCACCAAGAAGTATGGTATATGGAGAGGCACCTAGGCTCTGCACGAAGGGTGTTAGTACATCACGAAGAAGACCCCCCTGGCAGGTGCTTGCGCAGGTAGGTATACAGCCACCACTCTGCAGGTCAGATCTCTCCATGCAATCATCAAGCTTATGAGACGGCCGGATTCGTGCCTAACCACGTCTGTGAACCGCATGCCTGGCAGGAAGCCCAAGACCGCCACCCCCCCAGCTCTCTGTGACGGGCCAACCACCGCTTGAGCTTCCGACCTGACTTGTGTCTAGAAGTTATGATCCTGTGAGACTCGTGTGTCAGTGAGTACAACAATATGTGCTGCCTTCCTGATCCATTTTCCGCATCTCTCCTGTTTCCCACTGCTACCGAGCCCGTTGATGTTGAGCTCGAGAAAAGTTAAGCT